ATATCTTAAAAATCCTCTAATCCAATTTATTCATTTAGAAGTGAATATATTGTAAGCCTGGAAGACTATGTGACCTGAGGGCACAGTTGGGTGCCGAAACAAGGTCTTTTGACTCCTAGTCCAAAAACGTAACTTTCATAGTGTTATATGTTAGGTAGGGTTGAGTCTAAAATACTACCAAATTCCAGAGCATTCTGTTTCTTAGTTCCCTTTTTGGCATTAGTGTCTATGATGTCACTTAATCATATATCATGATGAATTAAATTAGGACAATCTGAGAGCGCATGTGAAAATTCTATGTATCTGGGTCACACAAAAGTCAAGTATCAATGTCTTCAAGTTGCTACATGAACTTGTTTCAGAGTGAAGGCTAAAGATTTTCAAATGTATATCTTCTATTTGAAATTAGGTAGATTTAGATGGCAAAAAGTACACATATTGGCTAATAGGATTTAGTATTTTGTTTTAAATCAGATATATATATATACACACACACACACTGCAATTTTATTTCAATCATACAAAGTTAGTGTGTAGGAAATTTAAGTGAAATAATTTTAAAGAAAATAGTTACGGTAAAAATAGCAGAAAACTGAAAATTCTAAAAAGGAAGTACACCTAAAAGCATGAGAATTCAACATTCACTAGTGTTTCATCTTCAATTTTGATTGACACTTGATGCTTGCATCAAATTTTTAAACGAACTTTTAAATCGTGATGACTATTCAGTTTTGATTGACACTTGATGCTTGCAAAAAGTTTTTAAACAAACTTTTAAATCGTGGTGACTATTCTGAAGAGGTTTCAGCACCAACACTAAGATTTGTACATTCAGTTTGTTTGCAGTTGACTTGTTAGCCATTTACATAGTATATAGTACAGATTTGGCACAGATTAGATCACAGGATTGAGGAAAGCAGTACCTTCATGTAATTAGAAAGGATCCCCTAAACTGTACTCAACTTGAGACATCCAATGTACAAGAGCACAAAAACCATTATAATAATGTGGTTCTAAGGAACATAGTTTTGATAAGGAAAGTAACTTAAGCTTCTGTTCCCCATTTTAATTACTGAAATCTCTAACAGTGACACAACTGTTATGTATACATGACAGCAAATGTATATAATAATTCATTTAGATTTCTTGGAAGGAACACATTTAGCAATCTGGGATGATGGAAAATATAGCATAATTCAACATTGGTTCTTTTTGTCATTTTGCACAGACATCATGTTAATATTAGACCAAGGCACAAAACGTTTCGCGCATAAACCCAGTCTCTTTTAAGATTTAGCATTTTATTTTAGGTTCCTATCTTAGTTTGGACCACTTGTACACAGTACTCTACCTAATATAGACTATTTAACTCATTTTTTTTTTTTTGTCATTTTATTTTTGACATGAAGTCTTGCTCTGTCACCCAGGTTGGAGTGCAGTGGCATGATCCCGGCTTACTGCAACCTCTGCCTCCTGGGTTCGAGCGATTCTTTTGCCACAGCCTTCTGAGTAGTTGGGATTACAGGTGTGCACCATCACCCCCAGGAATTTTTGTATTTTTTAGTAGAGAGGGGGTTTTGCCACATTGGCCAGGCTGGTCTCGAACTCCTGACTTCAAGTGATCTGCCCACCTCTGCCTCCCAAAGTGCTGGGATTACAAGTGTGAGCCACTGCACCCGGCTTAAATCGGTTTTAACTGAAGACTTCTAAGAATGAGGGTGTACATTTTAGGGAGAAGACTACATGTTCTCCAACTGCAGGTATTCCTCAATGAGAAGCAGTGATAATGCACACTTTTACAAAGGAATGGTGATCAGTGTCAAAAGTGCTCGTGAGCACGTGAGGTAAGGTAGTGCATGATTATTCCGATTTTACAACAAAGAAAACTGGATGAAGCTGAGAAGTGATTCGGGTCTTCCAAAACCTACTATAGCACTTTCTACCACAGTGTATTCAGTGGTTACTCTATGAGCCTAATTTCAGAGTCTCAAATGACGTTGAAATAAAGGACAGGAAATCAAGAAATTCATCTTTGAGAACAGATAGCCTCTGAGACTCATCTTTGTGTCTTAAACTTTTCATTGTTACCTTTTCATTTCTACTGCTTGATATTTGTCAGTTTCCCCTAGCTATATACATCAAATGCTCGTACTTTTTTTTTTTTTAAATCGTGATGACTATTCAGTTTTGATTGACACTTGATGCTTGCAAAAAGTTTTTAAACAAACTTTTAAATCGTGGTGACTCTGAAATTGTACTTTACTGGCTCTTGTTCTGCTCCAGTCTCTTCTTGGACAACACACTTTGGGGCACCCTTCTCATTAGAAATCTATGCTCCCT